AGGTGATTTATTTCATGCATTCGAAAGAAGGGAAATAAATTCAACAAGGTGTAAATCGTCGTTTTGTTCATAGAGGATAGAAATATACCGATATGCATTACGTGAATCTCTAAGTGTTTACAAAACTACATGCATCCTTATATATTGCATTTGTCATAGAAATATAGTCAATTGGTATCCTAGGATAGGTTCAATTCTACTCGAAAGAGATTGTTGGATAGGTTAGAAACATTGATTCTTCAAACGATTCATTGTGTTGTCAAATTGTGAGATAGGGTTTAAGAGTGAACTTGCTTGGTGATTTGGGATCCTAGTGTGCTTTTCCATATATTAATTTTCTCAAACTTTGCATTCAANTTCGAAACATATTTTCGTGAACACTTAGTCCTAGGTAAACCTAAAACAAAGTCCATAGAAATATCAACCCAAGGTCACTAGGCACAGGTAATGATGTATATAAACCTTGTGGTAAAAACTTAGATTTAGTTTGCTTATAAGTTTTGCATCGACTACAAACTCTTTCAGCACCACTTTTCATCTTAGGCCAATAAAAATGCTCCCCCAACATTTCTAAAGTCTTTTTAATCCCAAAATATCTCATCAATCCACCACTATGTGCTTCCCTTACTAAAACCTCTCGTATTGAACAATTAGGAACACACAACCTATTTTCCCGAAACAAATATACATCCTGCTTAAAGAATTTATCCATAGCCCCTTTAGTACATGATGCATAGATATTTGACAAATCCAAATCACTAACATACATGTCTTTAATATACTCAAAATCAAGTAATTTAGAACTAAGAGAAGTTAGTAGCACATACCTTCCAGACAATGCATCCGCTACCACATTTTCCTTACCTTGCTTGTACCGGATGACATAAGGGAATGTCTCTACAAATTCCATCCATCTTGCATGTCTTTTATTTAGCTTACCTTGACCTCCCAAATGCTTCAATGATTCATGATCCGTGTGTATTACAAACTCCTTAGGTCATAGGTAGTGCTGCCTATAACTCCTTGTCATAAGTGAATATAACTCCTTGTCATAAGTGACGTGTGTATCACAAACTCCTTAGGTCATAGTTAGTACTGCCTATAACTTCTTGTCTGACTGAATATAACTCCTTGTCATAAGTGGGATAATTGAGCGTTGCTCCATTTAGCTTCTCACTGAAATAGGCTATAGATCTTTTGTCCTGCATCAAAACATCACCAATACATATTCCCGACGCTTCACATTCAATCTCAAAAGTTTTATCAAAGTTAGGAAGTGCTAAAACTGGTGCCTTACACAACCTATCCTTAATTGTATTGAACGCATGCTCTTGTTCATCACCACAATAAAATCTCACACTCTTCTTAACAATCTCTGTGAGTGGTATAGTGATTGTGCTAAAATCTTTCAAAAATCGTAAAAACTAGCAAATCCATGAAAACTCCTAACTTCAGTTATGCATTTAGGTGTTGGCCATTTTTTAATAGCTGTTATTTTCTCCTCGCCTACTTCTACTCCGTTAGCACCCACAACAAATCCCAAGAAAACAATATTTTCCATGCAAAAGGTACACTTCTTGAAATTAGCATAAAGTTGTTCCTTTCTTAAAACCACAAGTACACTTTTAAGATATTCTACATGCTTATTTAGGTCTTTGCTATATACTAAGATATCATCAAAATAAACAACAACAAATTTATCTATAAAAGCATGTAAGACATGATTCATCAATCACATGAAAGTGTTCAGTGCATTAGTGAGTCCAAATGACATTACTAACCATTCATACAAACCACATTTAGTTTTAAAAGCAGTTTTACTAAACATGTAAGCACTATGCAATTCATCCAACATATCATCTAACCTAGGAATAGGATGACGATACTTTACCGTTATGTTGTTGATGGCTCTACAATCCACGCACATCCTCCAAGTTCCATCCTTTTTTAGCACAAGCAACACTGGAACGGCACATGGACTCATGCTCTCCCTCATGTACCAATTGCTCATCAATTCTTCCACTTGCTTCTGAAGCTCTGTTGTCTCCTCGAGGTTACTTCGATAAGCTGGTCGGTTTGGAATGATAGCTCCAGAAACGAAGTCAATTTGATGTTCAATGCCTCGAAAGGGTGGCAACATACTAGGCATGTCTTCCGAAAACACATCTTCAAATTCCTGCAATAAAGAGATAGTCAAACTAGGGAGGGGTGGGTTAGGTTCCTCAAGATTGAGAAATGACTCCTTATATACCAACAATATTATTTGTTGCCTCTCATTCATCGCTCTTTTCAACTCACTCCTTTTTGCAAGAAATTTACTTTCGACTTTTCTCTCCTTTCGGAAGACTCTCTTTCTTTTCTCCCATGTGGCTCCTCTCTCTTTTGCTTTCTACTAGCCACCTCAACATTTTCTCTCATACGCACCATCTTACTATTTTCTCTCCTTTTTTCTAACTCATTCGCTCTCATTTCTTCCTCATTTTCAGTTTGATTTGATCTTCATACACTTGTGTCGGTGTTAATGGCGCAAGGGTAATGGACCTCCCATCCTTAACAAAACTGTAACAATTCTTGTACCCATCATGAATAACTTTCCTATCATATTTTTAGGGCCTACCCAACAAGATATGCCCCCCATGCATAGGTACCACGTTACACATGATCTCATCCTTATATCTAACAATTGATATATTGATCAACACCCTCTTGTTCACCTTAACTTCCTCACTATCATTCAGCCATTGTAGCCTATATGGTCTAGGGTGTCTCAATAAGGTTAATCCCAATTTTTCTACAAGATTTGTACTAGCCACATTGGTACAACTTCTCCCATCAATGATCATGCTACATAATGTATTCATGTATGGAATATGTTTTCCCTTTGTTGCTCCAAGTCATTTGTCTTGATTTGAGTGTTGAGAGCTTGCCTCGTGACCAGTAACTCGCCACAGCAAATTCAGTGTCATTTCCTTTACTAACCTCCTCCAATGCCGGGATGCCTTCATAATCTTCCTCATTGTCACTAACCACCTCTCCATTGCGCACGATCATCATCCTTTTGTTTGGGCATTGAGAAGCGATGTGTCTAGTTCCCAAACACCTGAAGTACTTGATATCCCGATTTTTAGCGGCTGTGGCTCTGTTTTGGGAGTTGTTCTGCTAGCTCCATCATCTTTTCCTTTTGATAGTTCAATCCTTCCTTTTGCTACAGCTCCACCACCTTTATTATCCCACCTCGGTTTCCAAGATGAATTAGAACCCGAAGTACCCATTGGTTGCCTAGCTGTCCCCTTCCTTTTCAACTGTTTTTCCACTTTCATGGCCACATGCAACATATCTTCGATCTCCATGATAGGAATATAAAATACACATTTTGCATCTTTATTTAATGCGCTCATATGACTATTTTATGCCTAAATGTACTTAGTATTCTCATATTTTGGTTTAGGTGGCAAGTTGATGGATATAGCGTAATTTGGAAGAAATATGTG